TGTTTTTGCTCTAGGTTTCAACCATTTGATTCACTTTCTTTTTGTATTTCTTTTTCATTAGAATTTGTTTAGTTTTAATTGTTTATTTGATTTCAATGAACTTTATTTGCTCCTTTTCGAACTTTTTTCTTAAATTTATAATTTTATATTTGATTCCAATGTGATAGTTAGTTACTGTTAGGTGGGTATCTGAATCGCAGTATGCAATATATTTTTTGCAAGATCCGTGCATCAAGTTCATATTAGATTTTTATTTTTTAATTTCAAATCCACCCATATTTAATCAAGATCAATGTTTATATAATCTCATAATGGGGAACAACGATTGTACCCAAATATTTAGATGTCCAATATCTTTATTCTATCTTATTTGATTTGTTCGTGCTATGGGTTTTGCCCACTCCATACACTTTCTTCTTCTTTTTTTTCTTTTTTTTTACGAGATTGTGTTTAGTTTTAATTTTTTATTTCATTTCAAAACACTGTATTTGCTCCCTTTCGAACTTTTTCCCTAGATTTGTCAGTTTACATGTGATTCTAACTTGATAGATAGTTACTGCCCAGGTGTGTATTGGAATCGTTTTATCGTGAAATATTTTTCACATAATTTCCTGCATTGAGTTCATATTAGATTTTAATTTGTTTTATTGCCAATATTTAATCAAGATCAATGTTTTTATAATCTCATAATGGGGAACAACCATTATACTCAAGTATTTAGATGTTCAATATCTTTATTCTTTCGTACTGGATCTATTCTTGCTCTGGGTCTTGCCCATTCGGTACATTTTCTTATTTCTTTCTTTTTTATTAGATTTTGTTTAGTTTTAATTGTTTATTTATTTGATTTCAAAACACTGTATTGAGATATATTTTCCCCAAAGTCCCACTCTATATTAAGTTAACTAGTGTTTTGAACGTGATATAATATTAAATAGTAACCATTCAGATAAATTTTTAATTCGAATACTGAATACATGTGCTTGGTTTAAGAAAATTAGGGTCTTAAGATTCCTATTTTTTATTTTTATTTGAACACTTCACTTATTTTCCAAGGCTTTTACAATTTAGAAAATCCCCTCAAAATATTATCCTGAAAAATGGATGAAAACTTAGAAATTCTATTTTTTTTTTTTGGGGCTTCTTTTTGTGTTTTACATATATGCAAGAGAGAGAAATTTATTTTGTACAATTAGTTTCTAAATTACAACTTCTAATGGCTTTTATATTTTACACAAGCAATAAAACAAATGAAGCAAAATTAGCAAACGCAGATTTTCTCTCTTTTTCCTTTCCCCCAAGATTCAATACCAGATGATATTATTTTTTTGTATTTAATTTAAAGAATGAAAAAATAATTAAAATAAGTTATGTTTTTGCCTTGTTGGAGCATTTTCCCTTTTCTTGTCAATTTCAATTTGGAAAATCTCAAAAAAATAGAAAAATGCAAAAGGCAGAAATAAGAGTAAACAAGAATACTTACCAAAATAATAATAATAATAATAATAAACAACAATAAAAGAAGCAATTGCAAAAGCAAATAAAATTAATTTTTTTTAACATTCTTTGGATTATTTTTTTATTTTTAATTTTTCTTGCAATTTCAGTGTGGTAAAGGTTTAAAAGAAAAGGACCTCTTTTCTATAGAAAATATAAAAATAAATGTGCATGTTCTAGGAAATTAGGGTTTTAGAATTCCTTTTTTTTTTTCTTCATATTTAGGTTATTTTCAAAGGCTTTTATATTTTCTAAAATCTCGTCAAAATATATCTTAAAAATGTATAAAAACAGAGAAAGTCTAACTTTTGGGGGCTCCTTTTTCGTGTTTTATATATATGTAAAAGATAGAATTCTATTTCATACAATTTCGTTTTTGCTACTTTGGCTTTTAAATTGCAACTTCTTGTAGCATTTATATTTTGTATAAGCAATAAAAAAAGATGTGAAATTAACAAAAACAATATTTTTTTCTCCTTCTCCCTCCCAAGATTCAACACCACGTGATTTTTTTGTTTAATATTTGCCTTGTTTGGAGAACTTATTGTTTTTATTAGATGTTTCAGTTTCAGTTTGGAAAATGTCCAAAAGGATAATTAGAAAAAGACCCGGTTTCTATGCAGCTAAGTTTGTATATGTAGAAATGCAAGCCTCTTAATAAATCTATTTTTGAGATGGATTTTAGGACTTAATTTTTAAAGACATGAAATCTTTAAAGATGGAGATCATGAATATGAAAAAATAAATAAATTTTAAAAACTAGAAATAATAATTCTAGCAAAAAAATATTTGGACCATTAGTTTCCATTGTTTTTAGATGGAACACCTACTTGGCTTTACACTTTTTGAACCGCATATGTAGAAATGCAGTCTAGCCTGCATGAAACAATTTTCCAATAGAAAATGCAAAAAGCAAGAAAGAAAAATAAACACGAATAAAATTGAAGGAATTACAAAAGCAATTAAAATGAATTATTTTTTTATCTTATTTGGAGCATTTTTTTTGTTTTCTTTCCAAATTCAATGTGGTGAATGCAAAAAATAAAAATGGAAATAAAAGGAAGGAAGAAAAAATCGGAATAAAATAGACATGTATAAGAATTAATTTTTTATTTTAGAAAAATATTCTTCTCTTTACTTTTTCTAATTTGTTATTTATGATTTAAAATAGAGAAAAAGAACATGAACCTAAGCAAAACAAAAAGGAAAAAGATAGTAACACAAAGAAATGTATAAAAAAACCACAAAAAGCAATTGAAGTTCTTCAGTATTAACACCAATGTTATGATTTGCCCCTCCAAGAACCATCAAAATGAATTCAAGGTTTTGCTGAGAGAGTATATGATGTAGATACTAAAGTGTAGAGAAGAATGAGAAAAGAGAGTAGAGTGTGAGGATACATAAAGAAAGAGTAGAGATGGAATGAGTGTGAGAGGAGTGAGAAAAGAGAGAAAGGGAGAGTAGGGAGTAGAGTAGTAACACATTTATGAAATGGAAAGGAGAGGGTGAGATTCATGATATACATTTACTAAAGGATGAGAGATTTGATATACATTTACTAAAGGATGAGAGATTTGAGGAGATAGAAAAAAGAGGGACGGTGCAGATGAGGGAGATGTTTGAGGACAGAGGGAAGTAGCTTTCTTATAAGAAGGAAGGGAGAGTTTTTACGAGGGTAAGATTTACGAAGATAATTAAAAAATAATTATGAAATAAAATGATAATTAAGTAGGCAAAATAGGCAATAAATAAGACATGCAAAAAAAAAAAGAAGAAGCAAGGTCCTCTTTTTTTTTTTTCTTTTTTTTTCTTTTTGGGGGTAAATCAATGTGAGAGAATATCCCCTATCCTTTTTTCATTAAAATAAATAAAAAAAGATATACAAGCTCAAAAAAAATACAATCCTATCATAGGGCACCCATGTAGCATCATAAAGCAATAATAATCTGGAGGAATGAACAGTCAATTAGTAACCACAGAATAAATAATAGCCTTTTTTGCAGGAATGTCAACCCCTATGCTGTCTTCACGAAAGGTGTGAAATCAATCAATCATGTCCATCTGAGGAAAATTTATATCAGCAATTGGTTGTCAAGGAATGGGCAACCAAGGGGCTTGTTATGGCCAAGAATGGAATTTACAAAGAGGGTGAAGTCACTTTTGATTATCTGAGGGAAGCATTGCAGCTGAATTCCTGAGTCAATACTTGCCTTCAATGCATGAAATTCAGCAAAATTATTTGATGCAATCCCCAATGGAGTGGCAAAAGCGGTAATAAATCGACTGTAATTATTAGATTCACATCCAAAAATTCACGCGTGATAAGCTTTATGCAAGGACTATAAAACGTGTTTTTCTTGGGTACTCGTCAACCAAAAAGGGTTACAAGTGTTACGATCCCAAACAAAAGAAATTATAAATTTCTAGAGATGTGACATTCAATGAAAATGAATCATTTTTTCAAGATAGTCCAGTTGGAGTTTTTGACAAAGGGATTCAGGGGGAGACTAGAGACACTAATAATGTGATAATGCCTATTCCTGATAACGTGACAATGCCTATTTCTGAAGGAAATATAAAGAAAATCATTAAAGATGGGAAATTAGATGTGAAAGAAAATACAAATGAGGGGGAGAACAAAAATAATATTTTGATAGTGCTCAAAGGGAAAATGAAGCCCTTGAAGGTCAAAGCCCCATTGTTACCCGGTCTCCTGATCCTCCTTCTCTTGATCTTCCTTTGCGCAGATCAACTCGTTCAACTCGTGCCCCTTCTAAATTAAATGATTTATTTACTTATCATGCACTCACCCATCCTATTCAAAATCAAATTTGTTATAACAAGATTTCCTCCAAATATTCAGCTCTTTTGAGTTCCATTTCTGAAAACATTGAGCCTACTTCATTTCACGATGCAAATATGGATCCTATATGGAGAAAAGACAGGAAAGAGGAATTGCTTGCATTAGATAAAAATCAAACTTGGGATCTTGTTTATCTTCCTCCTGGAACAAAACCTATTGGGTGCAAATGGGTTTTTAAGAATAAGTATAACAATGACGGGTTTGTTGAAAGGCATAAAGCAAAGCTGGTTGCAAAAGGTTTTACTCAAACTTATAGAATTGACTACAGAGAAACCTTTGCACCAGTTGCTAAGATGAATATTATTCGCGCTCTTCTTTCTATTGCTGTAAACTATGAATGGATGTTATACCAAATGGATGTTAAAAATGCTTTTTTACGTGGTGATCTTGAGGAGGAAGTCTATATGGAACTTCCTCCTGGTCATCCACAAAGGGAATCTCATCTGGTACGAATAATATTCATCTTAACAACTAGTGCAAAGGTTTCAGCAATTGCTAAGATGAATATTATTCGTACTCAAACTTATGGAATCTCCACGAGCTTGGTATGCTAAGCTTAGTTCAGCCTTGCTTAATTGTCAGCTTTCATAGAAGTTCTTCCGATTCGTCTATGCTTTCAAAAAAAGGTAAAAGTGGAACAATGATTGTTCTCATATATGTTGATGCTATTGTCATCACTGGAAATGACAATGAGGGAATTTCAAAGCTCAAAAATTATCTTCATAAAAAGTTTGACATTAAGGATTTGAGACAACTCAGATATTTTCTTAGAATAGAAGTGGGCTACTCAAAGAAAGGGATTTTTTTGTCTCAACGAAAATATGTTCTAGATTTGTTGAAAGAAATTGGAAAAATAGGAGTTAAACCTTTGGAACTTTCCATCGATTATAACTATAATATCTCTTCTACTGATGGTGAATTATTGCAAGACATTGGACGATATAAGAGACTGGTTGGAAGATTAATCTATCTAACCATAACCAGACCTGATATCGCTCACGTAGTTGGGTTGGTCAGCCAATTTATGCGTGACCCTAGGACAAGGCATTTGGAAGCTGTTGATAAGATCTTAAGATATTTAAAATCTTCCCCTGGAAGAGTAATATGGATGAAAAACAATAATAATATTGATATTTGTGGTTACTTTGATGCTGATTGGGTTGGTAATCCAAATGATCGAAGATCTACTACAGGGTATTGTGCTATGGTGGGTGGAAATTTGGTTTCTTTGAAAAGAAATAAACAATATGTAGTTGCTCGTTCTAGTGCTGAAGCTGAACATAGAGCTATGGCCTCAATTGCCAGTGTGTATGGTTAAGATTTCTTCTTCAAGACATGGGATTTAACATATCTTTACCTGTGAATATGTTTTGTGACAATATGACATCAATATATATAGCATCTAATCCTGTATTTCATGAAAGGACAAAACATATAGAAGTGGATTTCCATTTCATTCGTGAGAAGGTTCAAGAAAAAATTATTCAGATCCCATTTGTTCGTAGTAAAGACCAATTGGCTGATATTTTAACTAAAGGTGTAACAAAGTCAATATTTCATCAAATTTTGGACAAGTTGGGCTCAATAAACATTTTCGCATCAACTTGAGGGAGGGTGTTGAGAGAATCAAGGAATCAAGTTGACTAGACAGAAAATATGGTTGGCTTACCGTATCTGCAGCACCATTAATGAAGACAGTCCACTTGATGAATAATGTATTACAATTTATCTTCTATCTTTATCAAATGTAAAAGTCTATATATTTGAGGGAAACCTTCTTGTAATCGTAAAGAAGAATAGAGAGCGATTTTCTTACCGTGGATGTATGCTTCCTAGCCGAATCACGTAAATTATTCTTTATTGTGGTGAGTTTTTCTCTTCCCCCGTGACCCGATCCTAAAACAACAGTTTGAGGAGAGAAAATGACATTGCAGTTAAGATTCTGTGTGATTTTACTAACTAACATAAGATTTGATTGAAAGGAAGGCATATACAAAACTTAAGAATTACAGGAGTCTGATCAAAAAATTGTTTTTCCAATTCCCTGGATAGGAACCATGGAATCATTGAACCATTAAGCAGTCAATTGACAAGCAAAATAAAAGCAAGACCAAGCCCCCATTTCCTTTCCTTAGCCGACGTGGCTTTCTCTCTCTAAAAATGGGGGAAACAATGATCAACCAACAGATCGCAGGCTCCCTCTAATAGCAGCAAGACGCCTAAAGAGAGAAAGCAGATCAATACATATCTGAAATTTGAGATTTGCCCACCAAAAAAAAAAATCTAACAGAAGGGATGCAACAAGCAGATAACTGAGAAAGACTCACTGACAGATGTTCATAGTTGAGAACATAGGTCTTTGTTCGCATGCGTCATAAAATATGGTCGGAAAAGATGCTAGCACCAAGAGATTCTGCTCTGATATCATAAAAAGTATTGAAAGAGAAAAACTCACCACAATAAAGAAGAATTTACGTGGTTCGGCTAGGAAGCCTACGTCCGCGGTAAGGAAACCACTCTCTATTATTCTTTAAGATTACAAGAGGGTTTCCCTCAAATAGATAGACTTTTACATTTGATAAAGATAGAAGGTAAATTGTAATCCCTTATTCACCGTGCTGAAGTGGGTTGTCTTTATTCATGGTGATGCAGATATGGTAAACTAGCCATATATTCTTGCTAGTCAACTTGACTCATGGATTCTCTCAACAGTTTTTAACACGATTTCTCTCGTTTTAACACACCAATTCATGCCTTACGCATCTTCAATTGGTTTAGACTTGAGCCGGCTCGCCTCTTTGGTGGGGCCTGACATCCCAAGGGATCAATCTCATCTATAAGCTCAGTTTCCCAATCTATGTTCAGTTCTTGTGTATTGTCAACACTTTTGTAAGCCATTAAAACACCTTCATCTCTGGTTTTGCAATTTCTTAGACAAATTCTAGCTACCCCATGACTAAGTTTGTTTTGAAAACCCATTAACAACTCATCACCCCTGTGTCTGGAACTCTTAGGATTAATAATACAAGAGTCAAGCCTAATTTTGTGATTGGAAGCCATAAACAAATTCCAAAGTCTCTATCTGCAACTCTTGTGGAAAAATCTTGAGAAACCATTTTGAAAATTATGATTAAACACCTGGTTTTGTGTGTTGAGACTTAATTGTAAGTGTTTTAATATGATATAATTGAAAACATATGAATGGGTGGCATGACTGCTGACTAATCCTTCCATTAATGGGGTTTTTAGAGATTCGAATGCTAGAAATGAAACAGAAACTACTCTTGACTAGAATTATCCTGTATGTAGAAAAATTATTGATCTTGACTATAGAAATTTACAGAACATGGAGCATACCGGCTATGGCAAGTGCACATGCAGTAGAACCACAAACAAGATTAATGAGAGAGAAAGAGATATCCTTAATTTGGCCTCACTTTGATATTTATTCCTCAGAATCCCTTCTGGGCAAGAATGAGGTTTAGTTGGCTTTCACTGTCGAGAGAGAGAGGTTTAACTGAGTCTCACTTCGGTGTTAATCTTTAGACTCCATTTGAGATGAGAAAGAGAGGTTCAATTGGGTTTTACTCTAGAGAGAGAGGCATAATTGGTCTCACTTTGGTGTTTACTCTTCAGACTCCATTCGAGATGATCAACAGACGTTTAACTGGGTTTCACAACTAAGAGAGAGATTAATTGAGATCCATTTCACAGTAGAGAGAGAAAAAGAGGGGGAGGGTCATTCATAGGCTGATCGTTTTGAGGGAATATCCACCGTCTGTTACCGTATGGGACAGTCAAGTTGAACTGAACAAATAGTGGTCAAATTTTTTACCTATGTGGGACCTGTTCTATAAGGGTGCGGTTTGTATAGAGCCAAGGGTCTAAACAATCAACGTAACGCCCACGTTTAAATAGTTTTGAGAAATGTAGTTTCAATACTAGAAATATTTGTGATAGCCAGATCTTTGAAAACTTGAAAATCTTGAAATTTGTCTGTCAAAAAATACCTTACAAAATGTATTATTTTCAAATTTTGAAAATTATTTTTTTATCAGGTCCATGCATCTTAAAGTCGAGATGACATATTGCAGATAACCCCCAAGTTTGAACTTTCTAAGCAATCTCTCCAAACAAAACAATTTTTTTGTGACTTTTACCCCAAGTTATGCTTTTCTAGCAAATACACCCCCAAGTAAAAAAAAAAAAGGGTAAAAAAAGACCAAAATGCCATCATTTAAGTTTAAAGGCTTCTTTCTTTCCGTCATGCTCTCATTCCGGCAATAGGATAGGTGGTCTGGCATTGGCTGCATGCGGTCCGACACATCCAACGTTCGATCCACCAATTGTTTCTCTGTTTAGGCTATCGGTCTGGCAAAAGGAAATGAGGTTCGGCACTGGATGCCCTCAGTCTGGCAAATTTTTTATGGGGTCCGCCAGTTGTTCTACACGGTTCGGCACATGATGACTTCGGTCCGACGCGTCTTTACCTCGGTCCCGCACGTCTTTACGTTGGTCCGGCAATTGTTGACTACAGTCCGACAATCAACGTTTGGTTACATATTTTACAAGATGTGAAGCGAGCTTGTACGAACAAGGGCATTTTAGTCTAAATAAGTATAACTTTTTGACTTGGGGGGTATTTTTTAGAAAAATGTTTTAGGATAAAAGTTGCAAAAATAAAGTTAGTTGGGGGGAGATTGTGTAGAAAGTCCAAAGTCAGGAAGTTTATGCAATTTTCTCTTAAAACAACTGAAATTTTTGAGGTGGGCTATTGTTTAGAACCTCAAGCTCTATATAAACTTTTTTCATTCTACAATATTATGTCCTAGTCATGGGGAGGGTACAATATCAAATGAAAAAGTTTATACAAGTGCCGGGCTCTAAAGGCTCTAAACAATCAAATTATGGCTTGCCTAAAACATTTAACTAGAAGAGGTTGTTTTGATGCCCCAATATCCTCAAATTGATAATCTCAACCTCAAGATACACGGACATGATAAAAAAATGGATTTTAAGTCTTGGAAATGGTGCATCTTGAAATATATTTTTGATCGTCGATTTCCAATATTTTCAAGCTTTCATGGATCTGCTCGATTTACACTATTTTTAGAGCTTTAAAATTTATAATCAAATGTGAAAATATATTTTAAGGTTATCACAAAGATACCGGAAATCATATATCTCATCACTATTTGAAGGTGTGTTTCACTTTGATTGTTTAGAGCCTCAGCTCTATGCAAACCACATCCCTATTCTATAATATTATGTCATGGTCATGGGGAGAGCACACAACGTTCAACTAGGGATACTGATTATGTGAGCCGGGGACCATAGTATAGTTGAGAGTGCAGTCCTTTGCCGATAATCGAACCATCGGATGGCTGTCTTTCATTGATAGAGGATGAGACTTTTTGGCCAATTAGGGACAAGTTTGTATAAAGTTGAAACCTTAAAATGTATAATTAAGTCTATCTCTTAAATCTTTTGAAAAATATCCATTTGATGCTAGAAACAACATCTAATTGATTATCTCGACTGCTCATATTGAGATGTATAATTATAGACTGCAAGCTTTAAAAATAATACATCTTGCAACACATTATCTAAACTATCTATTTTCAAGATTTTCATGTATTTATATATTTGCTTTGTTTGAACTATTTTTGGAGTTTAATATTTTAATTTAGAAATAAAAATAATTATCGTACAATTATAAGAATCTTTGATATAAAAAATTACATTTCATGACAAAATTTGGAGGTGCACCTTACATTGATGGTTTAAAGTTGCAACCTTATGCAAACTTCATCCATTAACAAAACTGCTTATTTTTTGTATAAAAAAATTATAACCAGTATTAATTGTTAGATAAAAAATTGGGCTGTCAATGATGTGCCACTAAGGGGTACAAATTACGAAGTACAAAATAAAATCTCTTGGATGGTGTGATGCACTTCAATATGGGATCTTGCACCAAATGCTCTTGTAATTTCACATCAAATGGTTAAGAATGATTGCGACACAAATTGTTTAGATACGACGGAATAAGTCTTGTGTATCATGTCTAAATTGTTACTAGTAGGAGGATATTCATTATAAGTACAATTTGGGTAAGAAATCACAATCAAAGCAAGCCATGCCTCTAAATATTTTTAGAAGATGAAACATTGATGCTGAAATTTTTTAATGATAGTCTGAAAATCGGTTTTCACCGTTAATTGTGAAATTTAACACTTTAAAATAGGGTTGACCAAGCATATTTATTAATAATTAAAATATAAATCTAGATATCTAATTTGTTATAAGATGAGCTATTTTGAAGACTTAGAAATTTTTTTCCCTATATCTATACATTTTTTAGGTCAAGCTAATTGATAATCGAGTGAGATGATTTATCCAATGTAATCAATTTTTCTTTTTTTGTAAATTTGTTATTTGGACTGGGTTCGACTACTCGGGCTGATACTTGGTTCACCACCCTAATAAGCTCGAGTATCCAAAGAGTTGCATGTCCGGGGATTTTAAATGAATTTTAAAATAAAATTATAAAAATAATCGACCTTTCAAACCCAAATTTATTTCAACCATACCCCTCTCCTTCCCGCCACAAATGCCCCTCTTCTCTACTGTAAAGGCGTCCCCCAAAACCCACTCAATCTTCCTGACTACCAAAGACGCCTCCAAAGCCCTCTCGACCTTCCTGGCTACCACAAAAGTTAGAGCTCCGTTACGAAAAGCTCTTTGGCATCAATTCAGTTAAGTGCACCTCAAATCTTACCCTCATTTGTGTTTTTTTTTTTTTTTACTTGAATCCAACCCACAATTTCTGAATAAACTCCAACCCTAAATCAAGAATAAAACCCAATTTTTTTCCAAAAACCAACCCAAATTTTTTGGTAGATACCAAAATGATATATTCCAATAAAACCCTACATTTTTTTCAGAATAAATCACAAAAAAATGGGAGAAGAAATCACAGTCGAAAATAGAAGGCAAAACTATATATGGGATAGGAAATTTTGGGTTTGGTTTAAAAAAATTAGGTGATTTCAGTTTATCATAGTTTAAATCGTATCTTTATCACCAATAAACACCAATATTAGTCTTGGATGTCCAAAACAAAGCTGAAGTTTGTGATTATATCCAAAAATAAAAATTTGTGAATAAAGCCATTTCTTTTGTTCTTCCTTCTTGTTGATAAAAATTGATTTTTTTTCTTATGGTATTATTATGTTAATTTTGGTTTGATTTGTGGATCTTTTACTGATCGTTCATTAGGTTAAATGGGTGGTTTTAGTTCCTTTCTCTTTTGTTGTTGTTTTGTTTTTTCATTTTTGATATAGTCCTGAAGTGATTGTAGAGAAAATTTTTGGCGTGGTTTTTTGTTTCTCTTTTGTAGATCGATTGCTTGTTTTTTGTTTAGTAACGTTTGCTAATATTTGGAATTAATAAGCAGAAAATATTTATTGAGAAATGAATATTAAATAAAATCATGTTTTTTAATTTGCCTTAGAGTATCGATTTGGAACTGTTGTGATTCTGAGTTGATGTTGTTATTACTATCATTAGTACTATTTGTTCTTTTCTCTCTCGCAAATAGTACTCTCTTTGTTGGTTCCTAAAAAAATTGTTTTCTTCAATTCATTTTTCCCGCTTATATAGTTTTTTTTTTTATGTAAATCAATAAATAAATTTACAAATAAAAAATTATGACAAAATCATACACCAAAATGAACAAAGATAATAATAACCAAAAAAAGGATTCCCATATCACTTATTTTCTATTACTTATTTTCCCCCTAATATTTGAATTTGTATGCTGTTGAAATGTTTTATTTATAGTCTATAAATCACCGTAAAAATCCTAACTTTGAGTTTGAAATTTTATTTTCTGAGTAAAACAAAAAAATATCCTTGCTGAAATTTCAGTTCATATGTGTTTTTTTTTTGCAAATAAATGAAAAAATTTGCAAATGAAAAGCTATAGAAAAATCACATACCAAAATGGAGAACTATGATAATAACCAAAAAAAAGGATTACTTATTTTTTATTTTCCCCTGAATATTTGAACTTCTATGTTTTTTAAATTTGGAAGTATTAACTTATTGCTATTTATTAGTTGCATCAAGATGTTGAGAATCATGTTTGCTTTGCACTGTTTGTAGCTAGTTCTCTTTTTTTTGTATGTTTCATTTAAATGGAAGTTTGAACCTGGGGTTTGGATATGATATGAAAAAGTGAAGTGGTTGTATTGTGTCATCTTTTGAAGTTTCTAGTCGCGTATCACACGTATGGTTGACCCAAATTTTCTGGATTTTGAGAATGAACAATGGCTCTCGTTTATTCTTTTTATTTTTTTGAGTATTTGTATTTGATATGTTTAATCTATAGAATCCATGAAGGAGGTTTTTTTTGGGGTAAATCATCCATCCATCATGGAGTTGTTAATTAAGCTAAAATTTCTAGATTGATATTGTTATTACTATCATTAGTACTATTTTGTTCCTCTTTCAATGGAATTCGATTTTTTTTTTTAAGATTTTTACTTTTTTTTATTTTAGGGGTATGAAATTGTTCATTTTCATACTTTTTGTTGAAAATCTTCGCAATGTAGTCCTTTTCGCCTTTGAACTTGTAATTGTGATTTCAATGTACAGTAGAATGTACATATGAAAATCTTGAAAATTAAGCAAATCTATAAACATATGAAAATCTTGAAAATGAACGTTCTAGATAATGTATTGCAAAATGCACTATTTTTGGTACTCAAAATCTTTTTTTCCTTTCATATTTATACATCTCGATGATCCATTAGAGATTTTTTCAACATTAAAAAAACCCTTCCGATGGATTTTTGAGGTGCATATGTAATTCTACATTTTAAGGTTGCAACCTTATATATATATATATATATATATATATATATATGTTGTGTATGTTTTTTATCATTTTGAGAAAGATTAGAAAGTGTTTTGGCCATAAATACTTATTTTTATCTTATTTCTTATTTTTAAAATTATTTCTAAATACCTCTATCATGCATTGATTTTTTCAAAATCAAATTTTCACTACTTTTTTAACCTCTTTTAGAATAAATTTGCTTTAAACATATTTTTCCTATTTTTAAAAATTTTTAGTTTTAAAACACATTGTAGCTTCCCCAGAACTCGGCCCTACTATGTCCGAGTCACTCGAACTTAGGATGAGTACTTGGCTTGGGCATTGGTTGAGTACCCAACCTGAGTCATGTTTTCCAACATTGATTTCAACCACTTTAGTGAATTTGAGGTCTATTGACCATTTTTATCTCATGATACTAATTTAAGAGCATGTCCTTAGGAGCATAGTTTACTTCTACTCCTTACCTACTCCTCGGTCAGAAGATTTGCTCGGGAGAATTTTTTTCAATATGAAAGTTAGAGAACCACTTAAGCATTAGTAGATCATTGTTTTTTAATTTTTTTTTGAAATTCGAGTTTTTTAACATTTAGATCTCACCACATGTATAACTTGGATGGTATCTATCCAATCGACTTTATTTTTTTCAAGTGCATAGAGGGTACAGTTAAGAAAATATTTTATTGAGATTAATCTATGGATTGAAGAAATTACATCCTTAAAACTTAGAGTCCTAAAATTAACTCTAGATGGAGTTTTAATTGAGGGAGTAAATAGATGTTATACACACGAGGGAGTAGAATATCTTTTGGCCTAATTTAATGATTTTTCCAATATATTTTTCGTCTCAAATAAACTCATTTTTCGTGGTAACTTTAGCATAAAATTTTGCAAAAGCTCGCCTGCAATTGTCCTGCACATTTCCCGCCTCCCCTGTCTCTCTCCNCTTTTCTTCTCTCTATATCGTCTCCTCTCTCTCTCTCTCTCTCTCTCTCCATTTTGTCTCTCTCTACTTTCTCTCTCTTTTTTTTCTCTCTAACTTTTAACACAGCACAACAACATCACCAGATCAAGAGAAGGAAACGCTCCATCGTTAGTCTCTCTTGATGCTCTCTCTTTATAGTTTTACAGAAAATTTTTATTTTCTCTCTCTACATTCTCTCTCGCTCTCTACATTTGTCTCTGTAATTTACAACTCTAAGCACTGCTGCATCTCCAGATCCAGAGAAGGAAGAGCTATACGGCCATAGCCAGTCTCTCTGTCTAGAGTAGGAAGAGGTACATTTTCGCCGTAGCTCTCTCAATCCCAATGTGCAAACACACACACACAATTATATATATATATATATATATATATTTGTTTTATTCTCTAGAAAACAAATTCAAATTCATCTTCGTTGTATCAAATTCAATCTTAATATTTATTTTACAGATTTTTATTCGTCAATCAATATATTTTGATATTTATGCAATTCCATATTAACAATTTTTTCAATGCAGCTTTTTTCCTGTGAGATGGATTCAACTGCTCTCTTCAACCAATTGAAGGTTTGTGTCTTTTGAGTTTAATAAGTTTTTAGTGAATTACGAATCTTTTTTTTTTTTTTGGGTAAATCAGTGAGGATTAAGTGATTTACAATTCTCATTATCAGTAGGATTTACTTTTATTATCCATTTCATACAAGGATGACACATACACTCTTCTTTTCTTTTTCATTTAGAATATGATTTATTTGATCTAATCATAGCCTCCCTACAATTTATGCAAACTTAGTATATTGTACTCAACGGGCAAAGGTAAACTCAGAATAGCCTCGCTCTCTCTCTCTATCTATCTATCTATCAATCTGTCTCTCTCTCCTTCCATAAAGACAAAGACATATATGTGTGTATGTATATATATAGCTGTATGCACGTATATCTCTTTCCGTATGCTTTTTTTTTTGGCACTCGACGAGGAAATCTGTTTGCCTCAACCCATAATTTCTGTATTTGTTGTGACTAAATCATTATCAAAAACTTATTTTTGAGGAATATTCAGATTTGTGTATGTAGTCATATATGTACTCATGTGAATATGCATTTGTGACCATCTTCTTCGTGAATATATCCATTATGGCATAGTCTGTCACCACCTTTTAGTATACTGGAACATGATACTATCAGATAATCAAACTTTAATCTGTAACTTGTGTTTAAAGAATAATAACCTTGGGAGGCTAGTTTTTAGTCTTCAAAAAATGGGGATGACTGAGATAATAATGCAATTAAGTGTTATACTGTAGGCCTTTTGTAGTTTTAATTACCTCCTTGAGTTTTGTGCTTTCTCTCTCTTTTTTTTTTACCCTCCTATCTCTCTCCTTTTTAATGTCTGTATTTATGCATCTAGAAGTCTGTGAGCTTCATTTGCTATTCCTCTTGCTTCTGAGAAATGGAAGTCTATCCATTAGTTATATTGAGAGGCTAGCTAGTTTGTTTGTATCAATTGTGGGCAGGCTGCAGAACCATTTTTCCTTTTAGCTGGTCCTAATGTTATAGAATCTGAGGCGCATGTTCTGAAGATGGCTGGATATATTAAGGACATCACCTCAAAGTAAGTATAGGGCCATGTGGCGTATCTTAAGACATGCTCATGCAAAGTGCAACTCAGTTTGAGATTGTTGATGCCAATATTTCTCCTTAATTGTTAGGCTTGGGCTGCAGTTGGTTTTCAAATCCAGCTTTGACAAAGCTAATCGTACATCGTCAAAATCATTCCGTGGTCCAGGCCTAGAAGAAGGCTTGAAGGTCATAATTTCCTTTCAGCTCATTTAATTGCTGCAAAAATAGTATGTAGCTTTTCCTTTCAGAGTGTGAACTGATGTTTTTCATTCTGCACATTTATGATGATTATAAGCATCACATTTGAATGCCTTTCAAAGGAACATTATATACGTGCAGTAGTTGTGTTCACCAGCATTTTATAAAAATTTATACTCTGTATGCATTGTTACATTTAGTGATGAGGTTGGTACCTTGCTGTTCATAAACCGCTTGTTTTATTTTTGATGATTAATTATGTATATGTTACTAAACATAATGTATAATGTTAAACATCTATAATCTGCATCAAGTTAGTCTTAGAACTTTGCTCGCTATTTCTCTATGCAGAATTCTATCAACTTTACCTGAAAACCAGCCAACTGGGAAGCTGACTGGCGTCCTTTCCTCTGGAATAATATTGCCAACATTAATATGTGTACTATTTCAGAAAGAAGTAGGCCTCTCTTTATGAGGAATTTTTCTTCCAACTATGAAGTCTTCTGATGCAATCCCTTCAATGTGGTTCGTGTTGCTTTTTGAAAGGAATCCCCTTAATGAAGTGTTCCTCGTATAGCCTCTTATGAAGTCATAATTTCTGAGGTCTTTGCTGTTGAATTGGTTCCAAAGGAACCTTTTATGCACAAAAGGATCTTACCATCAGAATTCATGATATATCTCTAGTTCCACCCATCCTTTTTATTCTCCATTTCTTTCCAGTAATTTAGAAGTTTCAGTTTGCCTGTTTGTAAATTAGAATTACTGAACTTGGCATTTGCAACACTTTGTTTTGGGTAAGCTGCAATACTACTATAACTGTATAGAGCACATTTTACTTGTGGAAGGGACCATTGACCACATATCAAATGGTTACTCTTTCCCTTTTCTAAATAAATAAATAAATCAAATTGTTACTTTCCCTGTAGGCTTATCTTTAGCATCCCTACGGACATGGAGAGAAGATTAATGTCTTTGATCTGATAAAATGAACTCTAAGATGTCGAGAGCTTATGATACCATCCTGCCACTGATAGTTGATGGTGAGGGACCCCATCATGACAATAAGAAAGGGTAAATATTCCAAAATTGGTCTAAGTCATCGAAGTGAGTCTATAGCCTCAGTTTAGGCAAGCTCTTGATTACTTAGTAGGCCAATTTTCTAGGTCCTTGTATATAGTTCCAAATCACCAATATAGTTATGGGTACCAGTATGTGGTACTGATGCTGGTATACTAGGGGCTAAAGAATTTTGGTTAGTAGTATCTAATGCATAGTTGCACGGATGAATATCACAGGCCAGGCTATTGTGCAATTCTACATTTTCTGATGGTGTTCATTTTGATTAAGGTTTGGATGATCCTACAGCCCATTGGTATAATTTCTATTAGATTTAACATTCTGATTAAGGTTTAAATGATCCTACAACCCATTGGCTCCAAAAGGGCAAGGGGTAGCCCACAAAGATATGGTTGGAAGTAGTGAGAAAAGATATGGGGAATTATGGCCTCACTGAGAGTATGACCCGTGAGAGAGCTGGATGGCGGATTGGAATTCATGTAGCCGACCCTAAATAGTTAAGAAAAGGCTTTGATGATGATGATAATGAGATTTAGCATTCAAAATAGGTGTCAAAACTAGCTTGTTTACATGATACATCAATAATCTATGTACCCGCTTGCCTTTGTAGCCTTTCTTCATCGAGCTTGCTTTGAAAAAAGACAAAAAAGAAAAGTCATGCATTGGTTGGAAATATGATATCTAAATTGAGGGTGTCAGTGACTTTGACTCGACGAAAGTATTTACTGTGGTTTTTAATACGTCAATTGAATGTTGATGCATTAAATTAAGTATTAAACTGTGACTAAACAACGTGGAAGAGTATCAAAGTTAAATGAGTTGGATACCACAACACATTGATCTGTATTTTTATGTACTAACACATAATATGCAGTATCAAATTATGGCCTGATGATCTCCAAAATCTCTATGCTAGTTATGACACTAACATTTCAATTTGATTGATGGTAAATTCTGTATCACCATTGAGAAGTTTACGGCAGCACACTATATAACACTTGATTCTTGTCATATGCACCATGCTCTTATGTCTCTGGGTTCGTGAAAGGTGGCTGTTGCATTTTCTATTCGCACCCAGGGAAATTATGTCTGCAATAGGAAATTTACATGCATATCTAATTGTAAAAATAGTCTGATGAATTCACTATCCAAGACAATGCAGATACTTCAAAAGGTCAAGATGACTTTTGATCTTCCTATTGTGACAGATGTGCACGAGGCAAGCCAGGTAAGTTTTTTTTGAAATTTTAATGTTGTAATTCAGGTTTTTTTAATTATTTAAATCAAAATTGATCATTTTGGTCAGGGCACTCTTGCAACAATGCGACCAAAGTTAACTTGGATTTCTATCTGAAGCACATAATAATATGTGTGTGTCCTTGTCTATTTTTTTCAAGATTTATGTAACATGGGGTCCCCCCCGTCCCCCCCCCCCCTCCCCCACCACTCCCCCACACACACACACCCGCTCATCCACCCACCCAAAAAAGAAAACAAAAAAAACTAAAATTATTCTCCCGAAGTCTAATCTTCTGCATCATTTATTTATGGGTGCGGTTTGTATAGAGCCGAGGCTCTAAACCATCAAAGTAAAGCGCACCTTCAAAAAGTGTCGAGAAATGTGGTTTCAATACTGGAAATCTTTGTGATAGCCTTAAAATATATTTTCATCTCTAATTATAAAATCTAAAGCTTAAAAATCGTATAGATCGAGCAGATCTATGAAAGCTTGAAAATCTTGAAAAATTGATGGTCCAAAAATGCATTATAAGATGCACTATTTCCAAAACTTGAAATCCATTTTTTTCTCACGTCCATGCATCTTGAGGTCGAGATGATCAATTTAAGGATATTTGGGCATCAAAACAACCTCTTCTAGTGAAATTTTTTGCGGTGCGCCTTAATTTGATTGTTTAGGGCCTCGCACTTATATAAGCCTTTTCCGTTATTTATTTGTCCTCTTTAATCGATTCCTTTTCTTCAAAACTCAGATGTAGAGACTTGGATACTGCTCTACTCAGGTGTCTAGTTAGTTGGCAAAGTCCAAGTTTCAGCTTATCTAAGCTAAGATCTTTAACATGTGCATGTCACATAACCTTATTTACTTTACATTTGGGATGGATTCTAGCTTTTCTTGTTTCTTTTTATTGGTAGTTTTATTCCAACTTATTTTGAGACTAAGAGCTCCAAAATGCTTTAAAATAGGGTTATCATTTTACAGATTCTTTTTGAGAAGTGATTACTTATATTAAGAATAAGGAATAAGTATACCAAAAAGGACCCCATTAACAGGGTCGTATGTCGCCATTAAGGTGAGATTGATCATGAGCTCATTCTGTGGATATAGTTCCATACGTGGTCTAGAAGATTGTATGTGTTCCATTTTGACAGTAAATTAGTAATGTGGGATAATTGCTCGAAATGGATTTTTTATGAATTTATTTCTGACATGCATCATTTTCTTTTAGTGTGAACCTGTTGGGAGGGTTGCTGATATCATTCAGATTCCAGCTTTTCTATGTCGCCAGGTTGTTGAGATCTCCATACTTTTCTGCCACAACTTCATATTAGTTTTCAACAGCTATTTCTAATTTTAGTTGAAATGTAATTATCCCACAGCTATTTTTGCTTTCTTATTGGTGATTTTGAGCAAAAGGAAACTAAACTGCTGCTTGGGGGTTAATTTATTTATCACAACTTGTTTAACTAATCCAAAAATTTCTCACTCAAACAGACAGACCTTCTAGTTGCAGCTGCAAAGACTGGGAAAATAGTGAATATTAAGAAAGGCCAATTTTGTGCTCCTTCGGTAAATACTCAGTTGATGTCGCATCGGTAGTATTCTTCAGAATGGTTTATATTTGCTTTGCTTCTGTGGACATAAGTACTGTAGTCCTCTCATAGATTTTATGTATCATAATTGTCATGTCTAATACTTCCAAAATTTTCAAATAATAATTTTTTTTAAAAAAATGCAGTATCAAGCCCTAAAAGGGAAACCTTTTTTGAGGTTCTTCTGTGCAGAAGTGCCACGGTGGTTCTTATTTGGAGCTACAAAATCTATACATTTTTTTTTTTTTCAAATTTGTGTTCTCGATAATTTTGTCCAGGAGGGGCATTAATATTGGGATTGAAAAATTTGATACGAGCACAAAAATGAAAAGAGAAAATGATAAGAACTATTCAAGTCAAGCAACTATTCTCTGCTTTAGAAAAACACTTTTTAAAGGAGAGATTTGTTTTGAGAGTAATAGAAGTTGAATTGGCGTGTTGATCAGCTCAGACATTTGCTGATGTCCTTTATTTTTCTGTCATTTTGTTTCATAGTTTTTTTGGTAGACTTCTGGATCCATAGGGATTTAGTTATTATATAGTATCCAGATGACTCAGTCCTTGCAACTACCATACACCAATATTTAATGAGATCAATTGAGTTAATATTAGGATGGAAGGGACATGCTGTTCACATCCACTCTAAAACGAGTGCTTTGCCACCCTCAAAAGTGCTTTGATGTTACACAGCTAAGCACTTGTTTCTCTCTTTGGCTCGCTCAGAGCGCTTATGCACTTTACTTTGCTTGTCCCTAGTTCATGGTGCACGTAGAATGACATAATTCTAAAGAAATTCATGAATAATACATCTGGGTTATGTTTTAACTGTAATGGTGAAGTGGTCTTACAAAAAGTTTGAAAGTAATGATTTTTATACATGAGTTATCTATTTATTTTATATGCGTTCAAGGACCTTAGAAGTAATGTATGGGCAGGTCATGGTAAATTCTGCAGAAAAGGTTCGATTGGCAGGGAATCAAAATGTAATGGTTTGTGAGCGGGGCACCATGTTTGGCTATAGTAAGTTATTTTGCATCTCGTTTGTCTTTAATTTAAGGGAAACTTATAGATAACCCCCTTGACTCAACTTTCTAGGCATACCACCCCCTAATACTTTTTAAACCACACCACTAAACCGAAAACTACTTTATTTTTTGCAACAACCCCCCAAGTAAAAGAGTAACTTTTTTTTGACGAAAATACCCCTTTTCTAAATGCATGTTTCTCGTAATTTAATGTGCAGGATTGATTATAGTCATACATGGTTTTAGATGTTATTGCGCCTGAACTTGACTAAGCGGCTTGGTCTTTGGCCTTGTTCCAAGCCTATTTTACTTAGTAGGACTCATTAACACTAGGATGACTTACACACACACACACAAACAAAAAAAAAAAAGAAAAAAGAAGGAAGAAGATCAAGAGTTGGTAAGACTAGGCCAAGTCTTTAGAACTTGGCAGTGGCTGAGCTGAGTGGACTTGGCAACTTCTGAGACTTATGATAGATTATAAAATATTGCTTTAAATGGAACGGAATGACTGGTTGATCAAGTGAAAATCCTTTAGTGATCAATCCCACTTGATTTCCAAACTAAATTGCATCTTGTTTGGATTTGCACATTATCTATGATCCTTTTTTATTTATTTATTTGGATGTTGTAGTATTGGACATAGTTGCAGTACTTGGTGAGTACTTGAAAATTGGCATACCCTTATGCGTGAAGTCAAAACAAGTTGAACCTTGTATTATTCTTATGATAGCTTGATATCTGGTGAGAAACTTTGTATGATTAATAGTTTATCCTGTGGGGTTTTATGCCTTTTTAGCTAGAACCTAATTGTGTTAGGACATGATTACTGGAGAAATTGAGGATCTTCCTAAATCTTCTCTTTCTTGTATTCTTTTGGGGCACATTGATTAGAACTTGGAACTACTAATTACCTAGGTCCTTGTATATTTCATTATAGAAGATGATACTAGGGGAACGTTTTTGACTATTTTCTATTTTTTTGGGTATTTTACCATTTGTATAAGTACCTAGTATTTGAGCTCCTAATAACTTGATGGCAAGGTTTGTACCATGGCTGCCATAGTTCAAGGCTTTTAGCACGAGTGTTTCTTGCTTTATTACTGTTGCCCACCTCCATCTCTCCTCGCCCATCTGGCTTTCTCTGTGCCATCACAATACTCGTAGTCGGCGCTTATTATTTCATCATTCAACACCATTCTTGGCTTATACTTAGTGTTGTCTGAATCCAACTTGGTTTATTCAATGTTGACATACATCGAAAGATCTTTTTACCTATGATGCAGATGATTTGATTGTTGATCCCCGCAACTTGGAGTGGATGAGAGAAGCAAATTGTCCTGTTGTGAGTTAATTGTCCTAATATCTTGCCTATTATTTGTATTAGATTGTTCATGAATAGAAGTACTTCAAACAATCTTCTGGTTAAAATTTCTGGTTGATGAGTTTTTTATTTCTCATGCTAAGATTTTAATACGTCTTCATCTCTTATTGCTCAGCTAATCCTTATGCATCCCATGGTATGCTGTGCACTAACTTAAACTTCTTCCATACAGATGTAAAATCAACCATAGATCTTAAATGTCAAAATAAATGATGGATAATAGTGACATAAGGGGAAAGGATTTGAGCACATAGCAGTTATGATAATAACAAAAGATAAAATTTTCTTGCATGGTTTTTAGATAGTATCAAGTGTCAGCTAGGAGAAGTTTTTTAAGTAAGCAAGCAGTTGGAATTGAACACATCAGCTTGGAGATAGTTTTTGTGAGACCATGCATTCCATCCATACTGTACACTACTTCTCCAGTTTTATAATCAGTTGTGTTTCACTTTCTGCATCTGCCCACTCTGTACACACCATTGTCAGCCAACTAAAATTCTATTTCATACTGGGTAACAAATGAAGCTTTAGATAGTGTTCTTTGTTAAATTAGTTCGAATTGGTTACATTCACGCATCTCATTCGTAATAGACTGAGGGGGAAGAGTTTATAGTTGTGATACCATTGAACCAAGATACACTTACACTCACAGAAACTAAAGTTTTGGATTAATTATATGAAACAGTTTGGAAACACCTTGAAGGATAGCAGCAGGAATTGCTGTAATGTGTTCATACTCTGCGTGAAAAGCAGGAAGTTTCATACAATGTGTCCCTTACAAATGAACTAGGACAGAAATATATATATTTTGATGAAAGCACCGGCATAGGTTATTAGAATCTAAAATACCAATCTCTTACAGTAAAAGCTCAATATTTATCAGAAGATTTTTTTTTTGTTTTTTTTCATTTTACATTATTCTAGGATTAACATCTCTGATTGAATGGGTCAGCCAAAAATACTATCTATTGAGTTGATTATATATTTGTTAACTCCTCTGAAGTGAACTATTGGAACTTTTACAGTTGCATTTCCATAGTTGTTATTTCTTGTCTTGACGATCGCTGAAACAAGTTTTAAATAATCAAGCTTTAATAAGTTTTTAAATTTTCACTAAATGCAGGTTGCAGATGTTACTCATTCCTTACAGCAGCCTGCTGGCAAAAAGGTATGACAACCAATGTTATTAAAATTGGGTGAGCTGATACTGAAGTCGTGCGAGGATTCCAGTGCATTTTGAACTGGCCCAGTTCAGGAATTCATCTCTATTTCTTTAACATCAAAATATCAATTATTTTTTTAATCTGCAAATAATTGTTTTTACGAATCCTCTGTGTTTGTTGGGGGGATGGGGGAGGTGGGGGGCGAATAGGTTATTGTTTACCACTTTGGATTGGGTGAGATATCCCAAAAAAGATCCAAAGTCTCCCAAACCAGTCTCCTACAAAAAAGAATTGATTTGGAGATTTCAGTCCCTCAAATCCGCTGTCTATTCAAGTGAGCTATCCAGAACTGATTTTGGGATGCGGGTGGATTTGGAGCATTTTTGGTGCTCCAAATCAAATCTTATTGGATTGAGTTGAGTAGATGGATTTGATCATCCTAGTGATGCTCCGCTGATAACTTGATTTTATAGTGTTTGCCTTTAGATTAGAATTAAAGTTGGGCCTTTAGTATTGAAGTAGGGGCTCTACGACCGACTAGTTGGATCAGCTTCTGTCACCCTTGCTTGACACTCGCTCGTCCCGAGGCAGGGGGAACACTGATCCTTTGACTCTTTTCTTTTCTTTTCCTTTTTTTCCCCAATTCCCTATACACATGCTGACAGAACTCTAATTTTGAATTTCATCCAAAATATGGACTGAAACCCATCATAAATGTAGAAAAGCTCTTTTACACATGAATTAAAGAAACTCACTTTTAATTAATTAGCGACTAGTACTGGCAATGGGTCTGAAGAACTATCTAAAAGGATACAAAACTAATGGGAAAACTCACATCCAGTTGTTGACTCTTCCTTCATAAACAGCTAGATGGTGGTGGTGTTGCAAGTGGCGGTCTTCGTGAACTCATACCCTGTATTGCAAGGACATCAGTTGCGGTTGGGGTTGATGGTATCTTCATGGAGGTAAAATTTTAATATGCTTTTAAATTAATTCTTTGTTAGAAGAAACTGGAAATTGTGTACTAGTTATCTACTGGTATGATTTTTCTCAAGTTGCGCTGATAATGTGTTTCTCCATTTTCTCTAAGCATACTACATAACCCTATTCAAATAAATGGATGTATTGAGCAACATATACCTAGAAGATCCAAATTCAAAATGTTTTATGATGCACATGTTTCCTACTAAACCTGGATTTTTTATATTTCGTGAATCATGAACCCATTATTAAAAATCCTACTTCGAAACTAGGGTTGCTATGTTCAGAAACCAGAGCAATACAGTTTCCAAATTTCTGGGAGCATTGCTTCTGAAATGTGGTCCCAAAAGTTGTGAGGCGTCTAAGAAGCTAATTTCTTCTTGTTCTCTGAGAGAGCAGGAAGCAGTAATCCTAGCTCAAGTTTGCTTAAAAGTAGCTAAATTCCTAGTTTGTGACAAACCATTTCTCATTCTCAGCAATTTCTTAGCAGTGTAATTTCTCAAGAGATACTTATAATTTTTGTTTTCCATTGAGAAATTATCAGGGAAATGTTCAAAAAGGGCAAAGCGTGCAAAAAGGAAATTTTAAAATATTAGAAAAATAAAAGAAACTTTATCTCAAAATGTTTTATTTTTGAGTTCTTATCAACTTGATTTTCTTGAAGTACTGCAGAGATAAAATAAGAAATAGGAAAACCATGGGGCATTCTATAAGGGAATGTCTCTTGTCTACATGATGTGGACGAGCACCCTTATACTGATTCAGGTTAAACATGGCCACATCCAACAGCCACAAAAGAGTTTTATTTTTTATTCCTCATTTTTTGTTTAGAAAATGATATTTATCTAAAGCATTTTTATGTGACGCACTAAACAAGAATAAAAAAAAATATTTTGACCTAAAAATTGACCAGAATGCTCTGAATTGTTGCAAGGTATTCCGGCAAATTTTTTTGTTCAAAATTCTTTTTATTAATTTTTATTTGGTGCACTATGTAAAAATAGATCTACACTCCAACATTCGGACAAATATTATTGTTAAATAAAAACGAAAATAAAAGACCAAACTAATTTGGGGCCATTGGATGATGTTAGGTTCGATCTAAACTGTCAAAGGGTGCTTGTGCACCCTTCAAGTGTCCACATCATGTGGACGTTATACCATCCCATTGTATAAACTGTTGCTTTATGAAAAATTAATGAGTTTTAAGGAAGGAATTTAAAAAATGACCATATTAGGAAAGTTTTAAAAAGAGCCACATTTGTCACATCAATAGAATAGTAAACTGAGTAACTTTTGTTGTTTTGTTGGTCAGGTACACGACGATCCGCTGAATGCTCCAGTTGATGGTCCAACACAGTGGGTGGGTGTCTTCAAGAGCTCTTAATAGTTTATAGAATCGACTATCATTGGAAGCTGTGGCTGAAATTTGGAGCTTTGGTTCCTTCAAAAGTTTCTTATATCAGCTGCCATTAGGACTTAAATGCTGAATACCAGCCAAAATTTCTCAAACTTCAGTACTGGTGCCTCATTATTTCTGGATAGCAGTTATTTCTGAAACTTGATTGAGAAATTTAGATGGCTTAAGCTGAAGTTCATCATAATTCTAAATTTCTACTTCTTACTCATTTTCTCCTTTTCCAAAATTTAGATAATATTATTTAGAGAAGGTTCAGTTGCAATACAAACTGAAAGATTTTAATCTTGTTCTGGTTTTCTTTTATACTCTAAATATTTCAAGCAAGATTTTCCATACACTGAATTATACATTAAAAATTTTTATTCTATGTGTAGCCTCTGCGCCATTTGGAGGAGCTACTCGAAGAGCTCATTGCAATTTCAGTAAGGCAGTCTATCCATTTAAACTGTTAGTTAATAGCCAATATCTTTGAATCCCAACACTAATATGTAGTTTTCTTTTTGTTATTCGAAAGAGGGTCAGCAAAGGAAAACAACCATTCAAGATTGACCTCACTCCATTTCGTGGTTAAGGTATTACGTGTAATAGCTTTTCACACAATGATCTCTCTTGAGTTACATGTAGGAAATGCCGTTTGATTTATTCATCTGAAAAAAAAAAAAGGTTATATTTTCTGATGTCTATGCTTGAATGAAGAAATTTAGAACATATGAACTTGAAGCCAATTCTGTAATGAACCTCAGTTGAATGAGTGGTTGCATAAAATAGATTTCCTTTCGCTTACACTCGCCCAAGAAAGGACAAAATATACTTTTAACTCTCTCTCTGTATTGAGCTTAGTTGGTTTAATCTCATAGCATTCCCAGTGGAATAGCTTCTGTCATTTGTATAACCAAATATGATTCGTCTTCAGTACTTTGTTGTGCTCACCATAAGATGTTTGTACTTTTGAAAACATTAACTAGTGTTTCCTTGTATCTATGGCAAATATCCTTGTCACCCTACACTATTGAGGGGCATTCATTCCTAGTCAACTGATTTAGAAACTATAGGCGTGTTTGGATGCACAAGATATCATCATGATCCTGATGAAGTTAGCAAAAGCACCTGTATATTGTTTCGTGGTGCATGTAAATAGATCCTCATGATAGGCTTTTAATTCCTTATCCCATTTAACCATATACTGCCAAAAAAGGGTGTTTTATCTTTGAAAATGTTACAATGAGACCATTAACTTTTGACACAAGGAGGTCACAATCATCATTGACCATTAGATTTGAAATCAGGTGGTTGAGGATTTGTCATTGTTTGGGCACAAATTCCAAAATAAAATTTCTTGAACGTTCTGACGCACTTTCATCTATTGAATTATACATCCAATGGCTAAAAATGTTGTCACCTCCTTGTACCAAAAATCAATGATCTCATGGTATACAATCCCTTCATCTTTACACCGAATAACAACAGTTTCTTTCTTCTGGTTGAGGTCAGACAAAATCTTAACTAAGAAAAGCTCTCTCTCTCTCTCTCTCTCTCTCTCTCTCTCTCTCTCTCTCCCCTTCAACTTCTACTTCTTCTCCATGATGCCCCCTCTGCAAATCCTCAACCCCATCAAAACCCCTCAAAGATCATCAACTGCTGGTATGAATTTTCATAATGGAGTTTGCAGAAGTCTTTGCTTCGAGTTTCGACTCCTTTCTTTTTGACAAAGGATTTCAACCATGAAAGTAGGGAACCAGGCTTCCTAAACTTGAAACTTGGCAAACAATTAGGGCCATATGATTGCCATTACCAATTGCAGTGGCCTAAGCCAACTCATCACCTCCATCTCTATTCTCTGCAGCTGTTTCTCTCTTAGGTTTAGTCTTCATTCCTCCTAATCAAGAAAGCTTTACTTATAGATGAAAAAAAGAAGAAACCCTAAATAACTAGTTCAATCAATGCACATTAACCTTCAACTATGATGTCATTGAACGTTAGACCTCTGAACTTAGATTTGAGCTATTCCCTTTCCAGTGCTGACTGTGAATCAAATTCTTTAGAACAGCACTAATTCAAGAATAGATCACCTTTTCTAGGTGAAAAAAGTTCAAGAAAGCCCTATTCCTCTGCAACAACTTCTCACCCTGAAGCCCTAATTTTGCACTTGACGATCACATGAACAATGTGGATTCAAAACTTGACTCAATGAAAAAATGGTACAGTTTTTCTCCTGGTTTTGAACCAGAAACCCTAAGTCTCCAAATCAAAATCACATATAATCCTCTAATAAACATGTAAAATCTATCTTTCTGTTACAGAAGAGAGAAGCCCCCATTCTCTTTGTTTTAGAGAATGAATTAATTGGCAAATTTATGATGAGGAGAAGGTTGCCGACTAAGCTTTAATGGTTTCTAAATCTCTGCATTGGAATGCTCAAACTTTGTTTCGTGTTCTTTATACATTTAGCTGCTTTATTTGTTCTAGAGAAAGGAGAGAGCTAAGTTTGTTTTGGAGGTCAGTGAAAACAGCTAAAAAAGTATTATAACATACCTATCAAATAACCAACAGAGTACTATTATACTGAATATTCTGATTTAGATAGTCATAGACTCACGATTGAATTAATTGTCATCCAAAACAGCCCCTAGTTACACACTCTGACGTTAAACCAAAGAATATACTGTAGCAGAGACAATTCACCCTTTCTGGCTAGTTAATCAAAATAATTTTACTCAATAGAGTGAAAAAATGATCCATAATTTGATCTGGAGTTAGTCCACTTTGATTTCTGAATACAAATGAGTAGAAATGAATATATAAACCACAAAATACCAATGTAGCCTGAACTCGCTTCTCCAACGTCTTTCTTCTTTGGTCCTCTAATTGGGGTTTGGGGCAGCCCTTTCTTTTTAAAATCCTGAATCATATTATAAACTTGATGCAAACATGATCGAATAAAAAAACAAACAAATAACGGTAAGAAGAAGCCTAGGTTAGTGAGATGAAAATGATATAACTGAAAAAGCCAAAACTATAGATATTGTTCGGAGCACACGGAAACACCTATGGGTGGTTCAGCATAATGAACATTTTGCACTCTTGGCTATACCTTTCGAACTCCAGATGTTAACCCATTGTTCTTGATTGATTTTTTATCAACACACCTCCAGCAAATCCTTTGCGAATCATCTTTGACATTTAAAGTATCTATCCCACCTTCACAAAATAGAACTACCATAAATATCACCAAAATTTTCCTCTCTCTCTCTCTATTGAAGAAGAAACTCATTACATAAAGCCCAAGTCAATAAATGGCTGAGCAGACTTTGATTAGAGAATTTTTGCAGATAAATCAATAGATCATAAACCATTACTGACCTTTCAAATTCAGAAACAGCAATTTGACATGCGTCTTGAGCTGAATAGGTGTTAAAATATGAACATACTCTCCAACACAAGGGTGGGTTTTACACTATTGCGGTGTAGTTTCGGTGAACCAGTTTCGATTTATGGAACATTTTGAGATGATTTTTAAATGCTCATAATTCGCTCGTTTTGAGTCCAATTAAACTCAAATTCGAACACCAGCTATCTTGACAACCCCGCTCGTTTTGACGTATAGCACGTGTCGTGGTGTGGCCCAAAACGAGAGAATTTTTAGAGAGAAGATGGGCTCAAAACATGAAAATTCAGGTTTTATAAAAAAGAACATCCAATTCTTTGAGAGGTCATGGTTCAAGATCCCGATGTTGGATCGTCGCAGGTATAGGTCTATTGCGACCATGCTTCGAAGAGCTACAGTTTGATATAATTTTTATATATGATCGGATGCCGTATGATATGAATTTTGAGGTCGAAAATGACTTACTTTTCCAGTTGTCGGAATCCCATTTTCTGACGACTTCCCAAATTTGGAATATGCTCAAACGAAGACCAAAAAGGACGAAATTTATTGCAAAATGATAATGATAGTGTCCTCTTTGATTTGTGATCAAAATGAACGCTTGCAACGTCATAAGATCGTGCCGGATTGGTGGTCGAAGAATCACAAGTTTATGAAACTTGGCGGATTTTGGGTTCTTCCTTAAAAATCTGTTTCAAGACGATGTATCAAAAAGTGCGCAATAGTTCAAGCATCGATTCTACAATGATTGATCTCCTAAATTAACACCATAAGCGTCTGAAAAAGCTCTCGAGGCCTAGCAATGGTAAGAGGCCCCTCATGAAGGGATGGTTTTGTCATTTATCGAAAAGTGCCTAGGGGTATTTTGATCATTTCGTCCAAAAACGGGATTAACATTTTAATTCATAAAATATGTATTTTTTGACAATTTTGGGTGTCTTTGAGCATTCCACCATTGTTTTGTGTTTGCTCCATATAAGGAACCCAAGTCATTTGTAATAACTCTCTTGGGCTCTTAGTCATTGGCAATCAAGTTCTTGAAATTCTCTCTTGTTCTTTTGCTTTTCCTTCAAGTTCAAGACTCAAGATGAGAGAAGAGAGAGATATTTCCTAGAGAGAGAAAATATCTTTAGAATCCCTCACTCCCTAGAATCTCAAAATTCTAATTCCTTTAGGACTTTTAACCCCCAACTCCATACACCTTAGGATTCTAAGCTTCCATACACCTTAGAACCCCTAGCTCCAAACCCTACTCCATACACTCTACCTTAGCTTGCCTACACCATAGCCTATACCATACACCATACTACATCATATACCTTAGCCTATCCTACACACCTTAGTTTTCCTACACCCTACCCTATACCATACACTCTAGTCCCTATACACCACACCACAACCTAACTTACCTAAACTATACACCTAAGCCTTGGGCCCTAGTCTTGACCCACCAAGACCAAAACCTCTCTCTTTTATATGCATGCAAAGGGACCGATGAAAGTACACTTAGGCTCAAGCCCGTTCTAAGTCCATTCTCTCTCCTCTCTCTTTCTCTCTCTCCCCCTCTCTTCTTTCTCTCTTTCTCTCACTTGGACCCAAGGCGGGTATGAGCCCCCCCCTTCTTTCTTTCTCTCTCTCTCTCTTCATTTACTCCCTCTCTCTCACACATCCAAATTCTCGGACCCGCACCTAGGGCCGGCCCGACTTCCTCCTCTATTTGTCTTGTCTCTCTCTCTCGCTCAATGCGGACCTGCGCCTCGGGTGGGTCCGCCTCTCTTCCTCTCCATTTGCCTCTCCCTCTCATCCTCTCCATCTGCCCCTCTCTTTTATACTCTCCATCTGCCCCTCACCTCTTTGCTCTATCCGCCCCCTCTCCCCATCTATCCACCCCTCTCACCTCTCTACCCTATCTGCCCCTCTCCCTATCTCTACTCTATCCGCATAACTCTCCCTATCTCTACTCTATTTGCCCCTCTCCCTATCTTATACCCTATCCGCTCCCCTCCCCTCGCTCTACCTATCCGCCCCTCTCTCCACCTATCCGCCCCTCTCGCCACCTATCCGCCCCTCTCTCCTCTCTCATTTCTATATGCCCCTCTCGTCTCTCTAACCCTATCCTCTCTCCTCTCTCATTCTTATATGCCCCTCTCATCTCTCTAACCCTATCCATCCTCTCAACTCTCTCAC